ATATACATATATGCAACAAACAGTCCTTCCATGTGGCAACAGTGGAGTTGTGGTTCTAGTCCATCTCTCCATTTTATACATTGGATACCACACTTCTCTGAGGCCTTAGTATGTTTGGTGCCTCCTTAAGAATTGTGCATTTAGTGACAATAGGAATTATATCTTAAATCTCTATTTTTTCAGTACCTGTCACACCACTTGGCAAATCATGCATGCTCAATAATTGTTCATTGAATGGAATTAGGTTTAGTTTTAAGAAGCCAATCCTTTGGGGCCCCTGGGTGGCTCAGTGGGTTAAAGCCTCTGCCTTCGGCTCAGGTCATGATCCCAGGGTCCTGGGATCGAGCCGCGCATCGGGCTCTCCCTGCTTCCTCCTCTCTCTCTCTCCGCCTGCCTCTCTGCCTACTTGTGATCTCTGTCAAATAAATAAATAAAATCTTTAAAAAAAAAAAGAAGCCGGTCCTTTGATATTACTGTATTGGCACTCGTTATAATATGGAATATAGAGTTGTATAAACATTTATTTATCCCAGATTTTAGAAGCTAAAGCTGTTAGCTTTAGTGAAATTACATGTGTAGCAAAGAACAAAAAAAAAAAAATTGTGTAAAAGTCATTTCTATAGATTCCAATTAAATGCATTAAAACATGAAATTAAATTAATTTACTTAAATTAAATAAAGTAAATTAAAACGTGGAATAGCTCATGTACGTTATTCATGAAAGACCTTGTTTCAGAAGATAAAAATACATCTCAATTAAATTATATGATCACCTGGGCAGGTAGTTAAAGTAGCACTGGAGAAGAAGGAAAAAAAAAAACAGTGTGATAGCATTCAAAGTTCATGAAATTATAACTTTAAATACCAAGTTTGAATTTGAATGGGTCACTCTCTTAACTTCTGTAGGATGCCAAAAAGGCTACATGCCCAGAACAGTGCAGGACAACGTGTGGCATCATTATGATTTTCTAGCCTCCATAGAAACTGCCCAGCTGTCACCACAGAACCATTAGGTTCAGGAAAATCAAGTCTTTGAAGAAAATCAGATTTTTCAAAACCGGGAAATTCCCTCTATCTCTGCAAAAATGTCCCCTCTCATTTTTCTAGCCTTCAGTAATGATCAGTGCAGGAGATGGGAAAATTTGAACCTAGTCCACATAGCTGTCCAGGCCCCAGACTGTCAGGTGCATAAAACATTGCCTGGGGACTTAAGTGTCACCAGAAATGTCACCGGTCAAGAGCAACAACAACAAACACATGTGGCAGAATTCTTTTCAGGAAGAGAGTCTTGTGAATTTAAAGACATGCATTGGTAAACTGATTGGAAATCAGGGAGACCACCAAGGCAAGTTCAGGCAACAGATGGTCTGGAAGCCCCCAGAAGATGATGGGAGCTCATTCACAGCATGGTTTTTGTTTTTTTTTCCGGGCATTCAGGAAATTATGGCTAGGGGACAATTACTGTCTATACTTCTTGTCTCTTTACCAAGCAACCACTCCTCTATACAGAAAAAATTATTCAGAGAATATTGTATTGGTATATTCATTTGAAAAGTCACTAAATTTTCATGAACGTCACAACCCACTCTTACGTACTTCTGATTAAATGGAGGTACACTGGGACACCTCGGTGGCTCAGTCAGTTAAGTGCCTGGCTTCACTCCAGGTCATCATCTCAGGGTCCTGGGATCGAGCCGTACCTTTTGCTCCTTGCTCAGCAGGAAGCCTGCTTCTCCCTCTTCTTTTGTCTCTCCCTCTGCTTTGTGCTCTCTCACTCTAGCTCTCTCTCAAATAAACAAACAAATAAAATCTTTAAAAAAAAAAATGGAAGTATACTTAGCCATGCTTTTTAAATTTTTTTTTTAATTGTGTTATGTTAGTCACCATACAAGACATCATTAGTTTTTGATGTAGTGTTCCAGGCAGACAACACCCAGTGTTCCATGCTTTCTATCCCTTCCCCCAAGGTTTTTGCCCAGAGAGGCTGCGAGATTTCTTGTCTCAGGTGTCTTGAAGGCGAACAGAGATCACACTGCCCTAGTGATGATGGAATAGACAACAGGACCTCTTAAATGGCTTTCCTGAACTCCCACATTGGCTCTTGTGATACCATGTTTTAAATGTTCTCAATTCACGGTGGAAATCTTGCCTCAACTATGCTAAAAACCTTTCATTCCTCTATAATTTCACTAAATCCTGTTGCAGTCATAAGATTCTTTTTTTGAGTATAGTCAAAATACAATTTTACATTAGTTTCAGATGCACGACATAATAATTCAACGATTCTCTATGTTATGCTATGCTCACCACAAGCCTAACTACCATCTGTCACCCTACAAAGCTATTATTAATAATAATACCTTTGACTCTATTCCCACTGCTGTACTTTTTATCCCTGTGACTTAGTCATTCTGTAACTGGAAGCTTGTAACTCCCACTCCCTTCACCCACTTTGCCCGTCCTCCCTCCCCGATTTCTTTCTGGCAGCCAGGAGTCTGTTCTCTGTATTTATAGCTCTGAAGCTTCTTTTTGTTTGTTCATTCATTCATTTTGGTTTTTAGTTTTCACATCTAAGTGAAATCATATGGTATTTTTTTAAGGTAGCAATAATTATTTTTATTGTTTATTCACAGATTAAACAGAAGAGCTGGGTTAGTGAGCTGCTGAATATTTTATTATACTCAATTGAGAAGTCTATTGTTTCTTTTTTTTTATGTTATTTTTTTTTAAAACAAGGAGCCATCCCAATCCGGATGGCATCATCTCTTCTTATGAAGACATCCTGGATACTAGGGAATTAGGCAACTGCCATGACTTGTTGAGGTTGAAAACTAAAGACCCATGGAGGCTGTAAACTTCCCACAGTTTGTCTGACCAGGGATCTTTTGAGTAGCACTCGGGGTATGTATCCATAGTGTGTGTAGGAACTGAAGTCAGCATATATGATCATAGATTTGTTAAGCAAACATTCAGAGAGACTCCACTAAGGACTCCATGCTGCATGCCACTAAGGACTCCATGCTGCATGCCACAAAGGACTTTTGTCTTTTAAGAACTTATTTTTTTAAGATTTTATTTATTTATTTGATAGAAAAACAGAGCACAAGTAGGCAGAACGGCAGGCAGAGGCAGAGGGAGAAGCAGGCTCCCCACTGATCAGGAAGCCTGACATGGGGCTCTATCCCAGGACCCTGAGATCATGACCTGAGCTGAAGGCAGATGCTTAACCCACTGAGCCACCCAGGCACCCCTTTTAAGCACTTTCTAACAGCATTTTTTCAGCCTGAGCCCTTAGAATTCATTATCACAGGTTTGTTTTTGTTTCTTTGAAGTTGTTTTTGTTTTTTTGTTTTTTTCTCCCCACTGTTCAGCACTTTGATAATATGAAGGGCTTCACTCCAGAGAAGTCACTGAAGCAAAGAAAAGCTTCACAGAGCCATACTGGGAGAATTAAAACATATCACATGAATTCAGCCTTCCTTTTCTGTCTTCCATCAAACAAAAAAGGAATTAATATGGAGACGCACCCATACAGGGACTTTGAGTTTTGTTTTGTTTTTACACATGAGGAACAAAAACCTCCATAAAGCCACCAAAAGCTTCCTAACATTATCAAGTCCTCGTCTATGAGTCATTAACTTGCTGAAGCCCAGAAAATCACATTTGGTTTAAGGCTGTTTGATAATGTAGTAACACAGTAAAATGTGATTTACCAATTAGCTCACGTAATTAGAAAATCAAAAACATGCTCTAAGTGGCTGGTGGACACACGTAAGTGAAGTCTATCGTCATTCTTTATAGCTGTTGATTATAGTTACAATTACAACCTTCCACTGATGTTACTGCATCCAAGTACCTTATGGAAGAGAATTCACAAGTACCTATGTTTACAAATCCCATAAATAAATGAATACTGAGTTCAGCCGGTCATTCTTTCCGTCCTCTTTTCTTTGCTTCACCAATTATTTCTTGCCAGACTTATTTAGCAATAGGGTATCTGGTCCTTGCCTTTATAGAGCTCTCAGTCTGCAGGAACTATGTTTAAATTCTTCTAAGGAAGGAAAAGTCAACTGGTTAAGAACCTACAAACGTGACGGTGGTTAGAAATTCGTCTTTCTAGAGGATCCCTAAATGCTAATGATGTTGCCGAGACACGTGTAAGAAAAAAGACACGGCCAGCTCAGGAATTTTCTCGCTCAGAGGTTTTTGCCTGGCTGGAAGGGACTCTGTGATGAGAATGGGGATTGAATATTTGTTAGATTATTTTAAAGCCGCTCTTCATCTATTCTGTGTGCATTCTGTTGACATCAAAGACATATGTGATTTATTGCCTGGCTATATTTAAGTATTTCTCTCTGTAAATTCATATCAATGCAAGAGTTGTTTAGATGGTTAAAGCTTTCTCACTAGGAATTTCAAACATGTCCTACTTTATTCTCTTCCTGCTGCTACTGAAGTACATGAGCGTGGTTATGTTACATGGTCCAGGACTTCCTAATAAATATAACGAGGATAATGGGGATGAATTACCTGAGCTTGAGCAATAAAGAAAAGGCATTTCTTATCCGACATGATTATTCGGAATGCTATTTTTTGGCAAAATACGACATAAGTGTGTGCTGCCTTTTCCACTAACTTTTTAAGGTCATAGTTTCATGCTCATTCATGGAAATTTTAAAAGATATTAGGAAATTATTTCCCTTGTAAATGTAACAATTGCCCCTATGTGGTTTCTTCTTTGTAACCTCGCAATGCATATTTTGTATTGTTCCCTCTGTCCCAATTATCACAAATTCTAAGGAATCCAATAAACTTTATTTTGCAGTTTCACTCATATATTTAGATGATATTTTATTTGGTTGAAACATACAATCACAAACATTAAGAAAGTGTGGTTTACTCATAGCCAGAATGAAACTTAACCCCAAATGTTGTTTAAAAAGCAGCCATCTCCTCCTTAATATATATTTAATCATTCTTTCTTTTTTTCCTACTTACAGGTCAATGGAACAGAAATTGAATATGAGTTTGAAGAAATTACATTGGAAAGGGTAAGAAAAATCCAACAATCCAAAAACCTCAATCTTGCATTTGACATTCTGCATCCTAATGATTATTTTGTGAAATCACACAATTGTGTGTTATACCTTGGAAGTTTCCGACGAGACTCAAAAATATTAATGAAATGCTTGCAGTGGAGGGCAGAGAGACAAACAGATCAAATCCCCAGAATATTCCATATGTAAATTGCATTGCCAAGATTTGGAGAAATGAATGAGAAAGTCAGAAATATTCAGTGAGCTAGTATAGCACTTTTTCCTGTTGTTTTCATTATTAACATTTTGTTATGCATTTTTAGATACAGTACAAAACATTTTCATTTATATAATGTTAATGCTATCTCCCAACTACCATTATCATGCATTTTTTAGTTAAAAAAAGTAATGCATTTTAAAGAAACCCTCATGGAGCAAAACATAGCAATCCTGTAGATCTCTGCAAGTATGTTATTAAGGCCTTTGCAAGGCTTTGACAAATTAGGAAATTTCTGTGTAACAACCCTAATCTATAAAAGTATTTTGCAAAATGGTAAGAGAAAGACCAAAAACCACCTAGAAAAAATATGACCAAAAGACATTAACAGGACATTCATCAAAAAAGTAAAGGCTAATAACACATGAAAACTTGTTCAACCTTATTAATAAACAAAGAAAACAGTGATGTTAAACGGTTTTTATCTGTCCAATTGGCAAAATTTAAAAGAAAGGCTAATATTCACTGCCATGGAGTGGCTCTAGAAATTGTAGAAGTAATTTGGAAAAAAGGATCAAAAGCTTTAAAATGGGCACACTTTTTTGACTCAAAAATTATACTTATAAAATATATAAAGATATAAAGAATGCTTATATTGGTATTTATAATAGTGAAGATTTAAAAAGTCAAATGTTTAATACATTATTATATTCCAAATAATAGAAAATTATATTAAATTATATTATAATAGCATTTTTAAGAATATTTAAACATAAGAATGGAAGGCCTAACAAAGTTATCTTACCAAATTAAAAAAAAATAAATTTTATAATGGTATGTAAATATAATCCCATAAGTACCAACATGTATAATTTGCATTTATAAGTATACACAGAAAACCTGAAAGGATCCACATTAAAATGTTAACTCTTGTTAAGGATTTTGGATAATTTTTTGTTTCTTCTTTTCGTTTGCATTTTTTCCTAAATATTCCATAATAAACATATAATTCATTTATGAGAAATAATAAATAATAAATTTTTCTAAGCAGTTCCATTCAAGTATGAATTCAGACTCTAGACCTGCACTTAAACGTGTATTTCCTTTTAAGTTTACTGATTATTCACTTTCCTGAGTCAGAGAATTTTTCATTCTCAGCCTAATTTTTTTATTGAGCATGAGTGGTTTTAAAAGGAAATTTACATTAAAAGTTAAGTGTTTGACAGATGTGTTCTTTAAAACTTCCATTATGAACTTTGGTTAAATTTTAATGGCATGCTAAATGGAGAAAAATAAGGCTTATGGGAAATTAGCCCAAATGAAAAAAGAGAACACATTTCTCCTACTAAATCACTAATCTTCTCTCTAGGACTGGCTATATAATTTGCAGAGCACAGTGTAAAATGAAAATGTGAGGCCCTTGTTTAAAAATTATTAAAAATCAAAAAAGAGGTCAAGACCCAGGCATTAAGTGCCACATGACTTTTCTTAAATGCAGGCGCCTGTTCGACGGCACAGATCTCACACTCATGGAGTCACCCCTTCTCTCTCCCCACACGCCCTCATCTTTAACATGACACTGTTTGGTTATCCTGGTTTTATAGGTCAGACAATTGAAGCTCACTTTGGTGCGAGGCAGAACAGTCAGTGGGAGTGAGACCACTGTGTGCTCTAGGCTGTGTTCTGACACTCCCTTGCCTCAGGATCTGGTGGTCATCTCACCTCCTGCCCTTGGAGTCTCAGTCACACTCTGAACCTCATCACTGCCACGAGCTACACTGGCCCCCAAAACCTCTGTCAAGCATCGTCTTTGTTGAACACGACCTCTTTTCCATTCTTTTCATTTATTCCAGTACCACCCCCTTCAAAAAGTCTTCCAACTCCACTGGGACCTGGAATCACCAATTTTACCATTTCCCTCCAGTTTTCACCTTTCCTACGCCCACCCCATCCCCACCCACCATACCCAAGTCTCCCTCTCACAGGCTTTTAATATGCCTTCTCCTCTCTCCCTTTCCGTGCTCCTCCAGCAGAGCCTCAGCCCTCCATGCCAGAGCCTGGGCAAATGAATGGGTCTAGAGAAGCCCTTGTTCACCTCACTTTAATTTTATAGCTATTGATTTCAAGCGAACCTTCAAAGCATCTTAGCAATTCTTATACGTTTCTTTAGAAAAATCACTCTCTCATTCTCTGGGACAGCAGATTCACAACTTATTTGCTCTTCTCAAATCTCAAACACCCCCAACCTCATCCTCAGTCTCAGCAATCAAGACTGCTTTCTTCCTATGTCCTTGAGAAAACCCAAGTAGTCACAGGAAGACCACGTCACCTTTCTGCCACCAGCTCTGCCAGTGTGCTCTCCCTGTTTCAATGGAAGAATGTTCCCTGCTCCTTTAGGAGGCCGGCCCTTCACTTGTGACCCACACTCTGCAACCTTTTGTCTGTTTAAGGACTCTGCTTCTGTAGTTGTCTCCTCTCTCTCTCTCTCTCTCCTGTAATATCAGTTTCTCTCTCTCTTTTTCCCCTGGATAAATTTAATACAGACATGATGTAATATCTCTCATTAAAAAAGAAAAAAAAAAGTCCTCTTGCGATGTAATAATATAAGAAAAAGCAAAACAAAACAAAATGTCACGGTCCAATGTTCCCCTCTTGTTATTGTTTCATAATTCTAGTTTCTTTACCAAAAATCTAGGAAAGCTGTCTGTTTTCAATAAGTTCACTTTATTACTTCATTTTCTCATTTTAACCTAGTTAATTATTTTCATCAGTAGTCCTACAACAATTTTCATCAAAGTCTTGACAGTTTCCATCTCACGAAATTCAAGCATCACTTCTCTGCGCTAACTTTTCAGCAACATTTGATGCAGTTGTCACTGGCTCCTTCCTTCAAGATGATAATCCCTTGCCTTGCAGGGCAAAACATTTCTCCTATTTATTCACCACTTCATCAACACTCTGTCTTCATCTCCTTGCTAGAGGCCTCCTCTAAATGTTGGAGCCTCCAGAAACCCAATGCACAGACCTCTTCTCAACCTCTCCTCATTCCTTCGTGATCTCATCCAGACCCATGGTATTGAATACCAACTATCAACCGATGATTCCCAAATCTGAGTTATGATCTCTCTCCTGCATTCCAAATGTGTACAGCTAACAGTCCAGTTGGCATCTCTGCTGAATATCAAGAAGGTCTTCTAAACTGAGTATGTTCCTAACAGAATTCATGATTTCCCTGCACTCCCAACCCTGGGGGCAAAAGCTGCTTCTACCCTAATATTACTCTTCTTAGCTAATTGGTTCTATCAGTTCCCTTATTATTCAGGCCCTCAAAAAAATCCTCCTCCAGGAATCTTGCTTAATTGCTCTTTTTCCCTTGGCATCCAGAGCAAGCATACCAGTGCTGCCATGAAAATGTATTTCAAAATCAATCAAATATTATCACCGACCCTGCTGAAGCCTAGTCCAAACTAATATCATTCCCATGCCTGGACCCCTGTAATAATTTCCACTTCTGCCCACTCCTCAAAGTAGCCAGAGTAATCTTTGTCAAAATATAAACCAGATTATATCACTTTTATTCTTAAACCCCTCCAAGAGGTGATAATTACACTCATTATCATCACCTATAAGACCTTATACAATCTGACCCCTGCTTCCCTCGGTGACATAGTGCCCTCACCATCAACTCCTAGAGCATTTCACACATACTTTCTTGTCAATCCTCCAAAAAAGCCAAGCTTTTCCTACCTTAAAGTCTTTATGTTTGTTGTTCTGTCTTCTTGCTAGAATCTCCCCTTGGATCTTTACCTGACTTGCTCTTTTCATCATTAAATATCTGCTCAAATGTCTCAGAAAAGCCTCCCTTGTGCACCCCATTTAAATTCGTACCGGAGGGGCGCCTGGGTGGCTCAGTGGGTTAAGCCGCTGCCTTCGGCTCAGGTCATGATCTCAGGGTCCTGGGATCGAGCCCCGCATTGGGCTCTCTGCTCAGCAGGGAGCCTGCTTCCTCCTCTCTCTCTACTTGCCTCTCTGCCTGCTTGTAATCTCTCTCTGTCAAATAAATAAATAAAATCTTTAAAAAAATAAAAATAAAAAAAAAATAAATTCGTACCGGCATCCCCATTGCACTTTTTTCCACTTTCAGAGCTTTATTACTTTTTTAATTGCACTTACCAGTATCTGAAATTTATATTATTAATGTATTTATTGCTCACTTTGTTAATATCTATCTCCTTCCCTAAATATCTGGTATATGTAAACATGTAGTCACTTCTGTATCCAATTTGCCTAGAACATTGTCTGAAATGTAGTATATACTCAGTGAATGTTTGATGAATGAATGAATGGATTATGCCGGTGATCTACCCCTGCAAATGCGGTGAAGCAGAGACACATGGCCTGCATTGGAATCTTGCCTCTATCACTTACTGGTTGAGTTAGTTTGAGCTGAATACTTGACCTTTCTGTGCTTCAGTTTCCAGACCTGAAAATGAGGCTGAAGTATTTACAATCTCTCTTCAGGTCTTTATGATGATTAAATGAGTTAATATAAAAGTTTAGGACAGCACGCGTAGTTATTCTTCACTTTTCCTTTGTGCTAACATAGTAGGTCTCACAAGTGTTATTTATTAAGATCATAATGGAAGCCTCCCAGTCTCAATGATCTAACAAGTCTCATTAATCTAACAATTTCTCTCATATCAATTTTTTCCCTGTTACTTTGTTGATTGTCAGACATCCAATCCAATAATGAAGTTATGGTTCTTATTATACGCTCTAACAGCTTCTACTTTTTCTA